GCGGGCCTGTTACTATTGGCTAGTAGCTAAAGGGAGGGAATAAGCCTTGCTAGTCACAGCCAATGTTGGCTGTTACTACGGCAACAAATGATGACTGTGATGATAATAACAAATACACAGTATGTTGTTTACGATTGTTCATGTTGTTGTTTCGGGGCCACGAATCCCAAGCAAAATTCGTCTGCAAAGATATGTTCTGCAATCTCAGCATTTAAACTGCATGGAATAACAACCAGCTGCAATGAGGAAGACGTTTAGTGTTGTAACGTTAAAACGTGTTTACTCTTCCACTATCTGGTTTCTTAGATGTACACAAAACAACGGCACGTATAGGAATGTCATTCTAAAATACTTATAATACACTCAAGCTGTTGATAATCGCTGGGGTAACAATTATATCCTTTTTCTAGAGCTTTGGCTTGTACTTGGGCTAAACCGAAAATTAAATTCAGCTAAGCTCATCTAACAGAACAGATTTTCTCCATTATCTTTAAATCATATATCAATTTCTATATTATAGAATTCGAAACATAACACCTACAATGTTCATGGGCTTTAAGAGTGTATAGTATAATAGGCCATCACTCTCTAGGTATGAATGCACATCTTTATATTTAGGGTTTTTCTAATTTCGGACTACTTTACAATATGCATAGTTTTTCATTCGTCACCTGTTCGCTTACGTACAAATGCAAAGATGTATTCTTTGTAGCTGAACGTGTGCATATGCGTTGTATTTCAACATGAAGCATATAAATTCAATAAATAACTGCTTGCATAAAGCGTTGATATGAGACTATATTCAATTAATTCTGTTAATTGTTTTGACTTGCCTGCTTTCGTAAGTTCGCTTGCTACCCTTGGTACTTGAAAATAAACGAGTCCTTTTTAGAACGAAGCAATAAACCCGAAGGGCCCAAAAACAGCGTGCAATCCTCTGAATTTAGAAATGAGGTGTTATCTAACGGGCCTTTTCGGCCTGAATGAAGCCTCAGCCAGATTAAAAAGTACTCTTTTTATCCAAGAACGACGGTTTACCTCAGTTATATTAGTACGTTATTTATATTTTAAAAAATCCTACTTTTATAAGGAAAGCCGGTAGACACTCAATAATGTTTAGATTTAAACGGAAGGGAAATGGGAAGAAGATAGGTCAAAAAGCTATTTTGAATACAAATTTTTCTGATACAGAAAGTAAGAGCTGTTTTATAAAGTAGATCAATTATTAGTTGGATCGCTTAGATCCAACGTTAGTCCTTTTGAAACTCTTCGCGCCTTTCTCCACCTTTTAAATTGTTTGACTCTTGCACCTTTGGGACTCTTAGCCATCTATAAACTCACTACTTTAATTTGCGCCCATTTTTTTGTGACATAATTTAGAAACCTTTTGACGAGTGACATAATTCCTAATATCGATTGGTGCACGCTTATTATTGCACAGTTGGATTAAAAATTGAGTAATAGCTAATCCACGCTTAAATTGTGAAAAAGACGCACCGTTTTCCGATCAATTCAACCAAGAACGAACCGGTTCTTTTCTAGTAGATTAGCATGTTCGCAATGACAAACAGTTCGCCAAAACTTGACCTGCTATAAATGGTCTCTTCTATAATCTTCTATAATGGTCGTTAACCCCCACTTTGATGTGATGCTGTTGCCCTAGTTTAATTCGTTTGAGCAGAATAGGGAAAAAGCATATACCCTATAATCAGCATATTTTTAGTAAATGACATTTGAATCCAAGATAACTGCATGGATATATTGTTTTGATATGGTAATATAATTTTTGTAAGCTCGACAACTATTTGAAAAAATTCCTCTGAAGCATTATATTTAACTATCGGATTTTAACGTTGCAGCTTACACATTGTAACTTTCCTGACTGTGAAATCCTAGGTAGTTTGCGGAAGCACGATAACGACATATCCCATTCGGCATAAAGTCCCGGCATACGCAGCCTAACTGCGTGAGAGTAACTTCGTTGACAGAACTGTTACTCCGGCATGTTTCATTGATTTCCAGCTAAAAAGCTTTGAAGACATACGATAGCACTCGTTGGTCATTTATAAAACGTTTCTTTTTGCATACGAGTATGTAAAGGTCTTCTGCTCGTCGTCTTCTACGGACATAGTCCGCCAACGGTCGCTTTGTACGGGAACAGTTGAAGCTTGAAGCACGTTCACGTTTCTGGGGCCGCTGGAAACGTTGCATTGTTTATAATAGTCTTAAGCCTTAGCCTCGCGAACTTGGGAAGCAACCTGAAGGTCACTCTTGGGAGATAATAGTGCGGACTGGATAGACCTTGGATAGATTTGAGGGGTTTCAATTATAAATCCGGTATTACGTAGCTATCTGCGACAACTCGAACAGATGGACGGCAAGAGGAATAATGTTCGTGATGTTTTCAAAAAGACAGGCCGACAAGAATCTCGAGCGGAGTACCTTTAGCCGCGCCATGTCTGTCTATTCGTGCACTGCAAACTGATCGACTCACTTTTCCAGCTCGCAATTGGCACCCATTTGTTATATCTTATACTCAGGGCTAAATTCTACCGCAGTCGCTTAATGCTACTAACCACAAAGCTGTGACTGCCTTACACCAAATTAATTGAACGTAGGGCATCTCTCTCCTAGGTTTACAGAATAACGAATTCTCATTACACGCATTTTTCACACCTCTTGCACACCAACTACTATGCAATATCACACATGTAAAATATTTCTACATATGCCTGTTTGTCCGCCAATGGCTTTTTCGTGTTTTACGTTTGGTACTTAAGCCGTTAAATACTACTTCACATGGTCGGCGCCCTGCACGAAATATATTTGGGCTCAGATTCGAATCTGGACGAGGTGTCTTTAAGGTTAGTAGGTAAACACATTACCCTCTACGCTATTACAATAGGTGACTGCCCAAGCTAAAGCAACCCTGTAAACGCGGCGCATTGAGCTGATTTTTTTTAAAGCTGGTAGAGTTCCATCCTGTGATCGAGCCGCTTGGATCAAATTTTTTGCTGCGGCAACTTCGCTTTCCCATGAGTAATGTTAATTCGCAATGTTAAGTTGTTCATTTTCCACGATTTGTTAGATTACAGTTAAGAATTTGTGAAGAAACTGCATTGGAAGATTATTCTTCACGAAGCAAGACGTGATATTCTATTATAAGCGTAACTTTTAACGTTTCATACATTTACCTAGAAAAAGTAAATGGTTGTAAATTGATGAAAAGTGAATCATCTTAGCTCGCCTTATTTTAGAAATATAAGTAAATAGTTTCCTTCTCCTATAAAGAGCCGAATACTGATTTGGTTTAATTAGTGAGCTGGTTGATGAAACATAGCCCTTTCAAAGTATGTTTCGTGTTTCTTAATTGGATGAATATTGTTCCCGTATGGAGAAGTTTTTCTACCGTAAAACACTTTTAGGCTAGCTAACCTTTTTTTTTTTACTAGTTTCCTCGACAACAATTATATATATACATATATATGTATATATATATATATAGTTATAACTAATAACTTAACAATATACGCGTTTAAAAAAATGTAGATATATATTTAAAACTAGCTCTACAAAACACAGGAAATTCCTGGAAAACGATTAATCGAAATGGGGAAAACAAGATTAGCTCTGTGACGTATCGGGAACATTTTATTATGTAAGCGTTTCAACGAGGAAGCGCGGCCGCTATGTTAAAGAAATATCGATAATTTGGGAACCGGTGATCTTATTCCTTCGTAGCACATGTGGTTTGTTTATTTCTAGATGTTACAATTAATTGAAATAAAACGAAGTATTAAGATTATTATTCCATTCCAATTGAACAGCTGGAATAGCGGTGAAATGTACAAGGCTAAATTCAAGGTCTCACATTAACGCTACGTTCATGGCCGGCCATGACTTTACATTAAAAGTAAGGTAAAGCTTGCTTTCAGGTATATTGGCGATTTTTCAAGTTGAGTTTAAGTAGAGGGATACAAAAGCGCTAGGTATCCAATCGCAGAAAATTAAATTTTGCATTAAAATTTGTATAGGAAAGCGGAATTAACCCACTAAACCATCATTGCTAGTAGAGGGTAGTAGAGCTGTATTGAACTATCTGAACCATTGTGGCCAAGCTAAAACTGAGTAACAGAAAATAACATGGTTACGGGTGGCAACGGCATAACAAAGTTAATATCACGGGGTCTTTATGGGACTTGTAAAGGTGTTGCTCTACAATCCAGTAATCACTTACATTAGGCTGGGTGTAGTAATAATCAAGTTTTAAAATAAACTGATTTGATAACTGGTTTATGGTAGCAGGACGGTTGGATTGTAAGAATGGTTACGCCTTTTATATTATAGCAGGCTGAAAAGGCAACAGTCAAAGTATAAAGGGTTATGTGAAACCAAGTAACTACATCGAAAAACTGTTGGTGCGTACTATAGTACGTTAGGCTGGCCGTAACATCAATAAATTAAACTAGGTTAAAAAAAACGCCGGTATGTACGCATACGGTGACATTAGTGGCCATTGTTATCCTGTGTTTTAAATTTTTGTCTTTAGGGTAATGTGAAGGACAACGTCTAATAAAAAAAAACTGGAAAAAATGAGCTATTTAAACATTGCATCCGTGAGGTAATTAGTGAAATTAAAGCTTAAGTATACAGAGCCGTAATTCAAGTTATGCAAGCGGTTCCCGAAGCGGTATTGGATAAAAGTACCCGCTTCATTTTGAAACGCCGATATGGAAAACAGAAGCAAGTTTCCGTGTGTGTTTTCATCCTTGCTGCAATCCAGGGAGCTTAATCTACAATATAAATAGAAAGTAATGTCCGTCAGCTGCCATTTCGGTAACCGTTTGCTTAATTTCCGTTCAGTAAACCTGTAATGGTAGATTACGACTCTGTATACTGTATTTCCACCAATCACTTCACGGATGTAGTTTTCTTCGGCTTGTTTATTAGATCTTGTTTTTCACATGACCCTAAGAGCAAAAACTAAAACACGGGACAAAGACGGCCACTCTATATCAACGCAAATCGAGACCAGTCGGTCTGAGAACAAGGCTTCTAGCGAACTTATTGTTTCCCATCCTGGTGAAACTAAGGTTTCTCGCCTTGAATAGACTTCATTCAGTCTATAAAAAGGTTTATGATATGTCGCGACACAACTCGCCCTTAACTGGCTGCAGCTCGTTATTTCCGAACAAAGAGGGTCCAATAACGCTTTTGCTTTACAAGCCACGCCACACAATGGCTTTTTGCAAGAGAATTACTTGACACTTACTTGAGCTATATAAGCCCACGCAATTTTTTTCATTCACATTGCCGCCTAGTTGAAAATGGTAAGACAACACTTGCAAAATATCACTGCAATGAACCCCAGATTTTGATTGGAAACTTCGATAAATAACAAATATTACTTCTAAATGTAGTCTTCGACTGCACATGGTGCTGTGTTTACCACTCGGTAAGCTGTTAGCCCTAGTATAATATGGTCTAGTACAAGTACGGTGGGCTAAGGTTGATTTTGTCCCCCTTTCTGTGCTTACATGCGCCTACACCCGTATATATATATGTATATACACACGCATCTGTTTATTTTTTACTTTCTTGATTTCAACATCTGATCGTTGATACCAGTCATCCTGCGTCCACTTAGCATCCACGTGTTCCCTGTGCATTAGTGCCTTTTGCAACTCGGTGTACCACGGGTCTTGGGTTTTCATCCCGGCCACTTTCCTACCAGCTTCGCGTCGTCGCCCCACGTTTCCTCCAATGGAATGTAGTCCTCACACTTCGGCCGTCTTCATAGTGCGTCCTAGACGCTTTCTTTTACTGGAGCCTTCACGGAGCAAATCTGGCAACTTCGTACCGTGTATGACCGCTTTTTCCCCGTAAACCCCTGGTCTACCTAGACACCAGCTTTCTCGTCCGCCAAATTTTTTCGCTGATACTACTTAGCGGCTGGGTCTCTCTGCTTCTTGTCTGCCTCTTGGTCTCTGCTTCAACGCCAGCGATTTTGCGGACCACGACTGAGTGCTGCTACTGGTACTAACCGTTGGTTCAAGGGCAGTGTACCTCCTATAGCAAACGAGTTCGGAGTGATTCGCCTTTTGTGGTGATCCGACCGGTGGCTTTCATGTTCCTTGTTTTGTCTCCGTGTTCTGTAATTAAGCCGTAATCGGCAGCTCTCCGGCCTTCAGGTGGTGGTTAAATCGCTCTCATAGGTTTAGTCGCTGCCACCAAATTCTAAAGGAAGAGCCCGTTGCCTGGAGTTTGACAACATACCGGCTTAAGGCTAGAGCTCTTATACCTTAATCGTATCCGACCTAGCAGCAGTCATAAAACGGCTTCATATATTTCATTTAATAGGCATTAACGAAAGAAGTGTCCGTTACAAATTATCGTTTTACATGCATCGTGTTGTATAGTAGTGACATAACAGAAGATGGTAAACAAATATATGAATTGCTTAAATGTTTGTTTGTATCGTGCAGATATACGGGTAGTGCACAACACTATTTATTCACTCTGTTACAAATGTCACACGCACATTGATACGCCGCTCTGAGTAAGAATAATCTGTCTGTTATTTGTCCTGCTCCCTATCCATGTAATAATTTTCATGAAAAGGACTACTTATACTTTCGTCGCTCTTTATATCTTTAATAACGTTCTTTTTAATAAGTAGCGATGCTTAAGCCATAAGTTTTGCCATACATTGTTCTAAATTAGCATTAGTTTAGTGTGCTTCAGGCCACATGTAGTCATTAGAGATATCATGAGAAACATAATATAGTGTCAGGCGAAATATGTTCATATGAAGTACCTTGGATACTTATCTTTACAACAAATGTTGCTGTTTCCAGTTTTATAAGAGCAAATATGTTGACTAAAAACAGAAATGGAGATATGAAACAACGGGATGAGGATAGGGATGGATCTTTGTATAACAAAAAGCTCTTTGTGCAACAAAGATTATGCCCATAGAAAATCTCAAGCATTTTTTCACAATCGGTTAACAAAAATAGCCCATATTTGTATATTCGCGAACTTATACACTTTCGAATTCCGTAAGAAACATCATCATGCCAACCCCCAGAACAAGTGCTATGATTTCTTTAACAGATTGCCAGAACCGCGTTTTCTCTAACAATTCCGGAATAACTGACACCGTAGCAATATAGATGAATCCTGAAATCGATATCGAACACATTTAGTTACCAAGTTCGCCAATACGTTCCATATTGTTCACAATAATTATTGAGGTTTGAGTATGTCTCATGTATTTAAACGCAGAATGGCAACCAGCCACTAACCTCCTGCAGTAAAAGGCAAAACCCAACGGGCAGCCCCAACACCGCCTGCTAGTAAAGACACCATTGTTCCTGACAAGCAGCCAATCGCTGTGACTAATTGCAAACACATTGCCTGAAAACAATTCACGAAGGTACACGGGAATGTTAATTATACTTACTGTGTTAGTTGTGGATAAATGTATGTTTATATAATAAATTGTCTTTACCATTCCGTCTAGGCTCGAATAAACCTTTTGTGGCCGTTTGTCACAGTATGCAACCGGTTATTCACTATCCTTGTTTTTCTTTGCAACAAGACCACAAATACATATTGACAGAAAACACTTTGCAATTCGAGCGAAGACCGCCTATTGTTTAACTCACTTTCACGGGACAAATCCTCCATTTCCGAAGTCGACGGCTTACAGTTTTGCCGTGCAATTCTCGAGAACTTCAAGGAAGGCTTTCATGACGGCTCGAGATTTAGCAAAATTATGAAAAAAGCCATTTTATTCCGGATTTTTGATACAACTAGAAGAGGTTATTTTCGGGGGGAGCAAACCAACTGCCAATTAAGTCGTCTAGGGTAGCTCCAATGGTTAGCTTACAATAGCCTTTTTGCGCTTTTCCTATTTTTCGACAGTTTTGAGCCGTAGTATTTTGGGGAGTCTTACCTTACTATCGGGCCAAACTTTTGGTCAGCCAAATTTTTTGCGTGGAGTGCTATTTAGCAACGAGTCTGTACTTACTGATCATGCTTGATACAGTTATTTTGTAAATTATAGAAGGCGCGTTTTGAAAATGATTAGTAAATGATGTACGTCCCAAATCAGAGCTGTAATTGGGGCGAAGGGAGACCATATTGAATGACCATCTACTTTTTAATTGTATCAAATGTGATAGCACTTTTGGCTGTGCTTACTGATCTAGTGTGCTGCGAATACGTTTTCGTACCATTTTGAAAACACTGTATTCGTTAGTTATAAGATCTTCGTTCGATCTCCTGCGCGGTCATGACTTGACCCTTGAAGTAAAGCTATACATCTTATGTCAGGTTCAAATCGAGCGAATTTTTAGATCACGGCAGAACCTCAACACCCTTAGCGGCAAACACCTCAAAGACCTACTTTACGTATGATGTGGTGATATGTTATGCATGGACATACGAACCATGGTTTCTTCTCTGGGAAGCACTGCCTGAGGCAGCATTTTCGTCTAAATTACCTTACTGTATTGACGTTCTTTCATAATTCTGTTGGAAAAATACAGAGCTTTTGCACCGTGAATAGAAATCACGGCCCGCACCATTATTTTTTTCGGACGTCTTACAGAGAAGGTGTGAGACCTTTGGTCGGAAGGCCTGCAAAAGTGTTGAGCGTTACTACCCAAAATTTCAAAAAGCGATTCATCTGAAAAACAGCCTTTTTTCTTAGTTTTTAAATGTCAAACCTTAACAATGGTTTAGTCCACTTGAAACGTTTATGGAGAGAGTTTAGTGGATATCTTTGGGCTCGTTGCGACAGCTAAAACCATTCATTTTGATGCAACATCGTGGGCTTCTTATAGGCACAATGGCTCCGCGCTTTTCCAGCCATTGACATAATTGAGAAACCGTTATAAATTCGTTTTGTAACGTGGTTAGAATAATCCTATCCCCTCACTGCGTTGTGTACGCTTTTAACCCCCTGTTTTCTACTTTTCGTGATAGAAAAACACCACATCATTCATTTTCTGAGCTGCATTACCGGTTGCACGTATTGGTGTTCCGACCCATTTCTTTTCGATACTGCATATGTCTAAATATTGGAGTCAACTGCTTTTCCGGAAGCTTTTTCCGTAATACCATTATCAACTCATGTATAGCCATAAAAACATGAAATTAACATCAGGATCATTTTTAGTTACAAGAACTTTGCTGTCATTCAATAGAAAGGAAGAATAATTGCAATTTTAATCTGTATCTCTTCCACAGTGGAAAAGAACGAAACCAGGTAGTAGAATTGCACTCAAATATTCGTACATGCTGTGGTGAACAGCTACTGCATCACACGTCTCAGTAAGCCACAGCAGTCCTATCTGCTCTTCCACAGCAGTTTAAAAATGCTGTTCTAGTGGCAGTGTCGCCACGTGTTATATCCCACGCTAGAAAAATCTCATTGCAGTTGGTTGCGTTAGGTGTAATGATATCGTATGAAATTTTTAAATGGCAGGAAAGAGTATAGCTATGTGGAACAGGGCCAGTTCTTTCGGGGTCTTTTTCTAGCCAACGAACGTTCATTTGAAATTCTAATACTACGGAAGTTTCATGGGTCAGATATTAGGAGAAATTCGTCGGTTGTATTTATGACCAAATATTAGAAGATAAAGATAAAGAAACTTTTGCTGAACGATAAACAACCAACTTATTTTTCTATAACAGTTTCTTTTGTTCCATATAACACCATCACCATGGGAATTATACGGCACAGAATGAAGTACGCCGATCTATGCCAGTGTGATTTTGAACGTTATGAAACGAAATGTCGTCAGCTACTTATTACATCGTAAAATTAGAATAATTGCCTCTGAGTCTGTCGCACATATCTATGTATGTATATGTCATACAATGCCGAACACATGTGTTGTATTTTTGTCCCTATGTGTCATACTTGCAAGGTTGTTTTTAAAAGAAATTGCGACATTGGTGTTCTCATGCAGCATCGTTGGCAGGAACAATTATCGCTGATATGACTCAAACGCTTTACTCTATTAATGAACACTAAATTGTAAGCATAAAACCATCACTTAAAATTCTAAATCCGTTAAAATCTTAAATATCATGCCTCGTAAGTTTTTACAAACGTGCTTATTGTTTTTAGTCCACTCGGCAAATTTACTTTTAATAAAATGGTAAAACATTATTTTTATGGCGTATGGACAAATTCCTGAAGTTCTATTTTTATTATCGTTGCTCTGTTTTTAAATAACTTGAATGCTGTGTCCTGCTCATTAACACTAGACGCTTTCCAACAAATTATGTGATAAATACATGTAACAAATGATTGAGATAACCAGCTTTGGCGCTCCTCGTCGTCATTCCTGTGTAAAGTTCTATAGTGGTTAGCTGCTAGTGGACGCAAAATCTCAAAACAGTGTGTACATACAAAAAAGGTACAGAGTCCAGCCGAGAGGGATAAAGACCGTCCGATTATGGAAACATTTGTGAATTTGGGATGAGCCGGGCCACGTTTCAACGACAACTCAAGGCTGTGAGAAAAGCCGCAGCTTCTGGTACTCGAACCGAGCTTGTTTGAACATGCACGTCATGTGTTTAATAACGTCAAAAGACTATAGCAGCATATTTTGCCAAATGCGTAAGGATTATATAAAGTTCTATCATGCTCAAGGCAAAGTCAGTTGTGTACTAGTTTGCTAAACGCCTAGATATAAACGTACCGGACAGTTGACATCATGGATTAGATGATCGCGTTCTAAATAAGTTTTTTGGCTACAACCCGAAAATGTCTTTTGCACGTGCAATGAGTTTAATGAGGAACCGGTCAAAGTTTTCTTAAAGAACTTCCAAGATTTTCACGGAGCCATATCATTCCACTTCTTCGAGTATCTTTAATCTGCATGTACTTTCAAACGTACTTTCTTATGATAATGAATGCTTCAAGACTGATTGCACCTAAAGAAACATAAGTAGCTGCTTAAATAACATCGTAACGACGCGAAATGTTTGTTACAACATCTTAGTTTTCGCGAGCGGCTACACAGATCTGCTGTCTCCTTTATTTCTTAGGATTCATTTTAGGGAGCACATGCTCACGGGTATGCTAGTTTTAGATCTCGCAAACCTATCGGATCACAAAGGAAGTTTTTTTCGCGACCATTCACTGTCTTCAAGAAGCCGTGTCTGTTAATTATGCAACTGGACTCACATAAGCCTAAGCACGATTAAGTTCGTTCTGTAGGCAGACGTCCATAACATCGTACTTCTTTGGTGCTGCTCGAAAAAACCCTAGACGGGGCAACCTTGCAACGCATTCGAAGTTTGGCTTCGTAAGCCACGGTAGTCAAATCGCAGTCTATGCAAAAACGATATTCATCTTCGTATATCGTGAAAGAATTCCAGAAGACAAAGATGTTTTTGCATTCACAAAAGATGATTTTCTCCCTCCAATTGCGCAGACTGATGATCAGCCGAGGCAGTCGGGCTATCATAAAGTGTCATTTCAGCAACACAGCCCTTCGTCTTCTAAATTGGGGTGCTCTGGTGCGGGCAGCTTCATTATTGATTGCCACCATATCGTAAGGGAAAAGAGTCAAAACCTGTACACTGTCCGTTGCTCCGATAAAATCACATGAGTAGTTTCGTTTTTAAAAAAATGGGCTTGTTCGCTTCAGCTGTCCGAAAGAATCGAAAAGGACGATATTGCCCAAATAAGTCTGATGCTCATTTGTATGTCAACAGCTCTTTTAGAAATCAATAAAATTTCCAACAAACATTCAGTTACACTCAGAGCGGTATCTGTTCTAATCTGTTTGATCTAAATCGCTTCAAATAGTTAGCCGCCCATATAAATCCACCTGGTAGAGCTATATGGTTACCCCCATGTACATATAGATATATATGAGAAGGCGGTGCTGTGTGAGTCAATATCTAGTTGACGCTATTGTTGAAAGCAATTACTGCCATAAAAGAGAAAAATTCGTCAAGATATATATATATATATATATATATAAATTCGTCATATATTCGTCAAAAACGCTTCTGTGACATACATGGGCTTCCTATTTCATTGCATTTGCGAAGAATATCCATTTACGACACTTATGTCGCTGACTCATATAACCTGCTTAGGTGGAGTTATATGTCGAGGTCTTGGAAATCTGTAAACATGATTTCGTCGGCAAAAACATTAACATGGATTTCGTCTTCGTTTTCGAATATTTCGAAAACTGTCTCTCCTAAGCTAAGGTTGTACGTATAAACTAGTTGCACTCTCCATAAGTGAATCCAGTTGTCCAAGTTTTCAAGATCGAGAAGAAAATTCTACCTCATTCAGTATAAGAGGAGCGGGGGTATTTTTTTGTACACTCTGCGTGTTTTATGTGGCGCGAGTGAAGTGTACATCACAAGACAGCTAAGCAATAAGAAACCAGCTCTATTGCAGCGTTTAGTAATTCTGTTACAGCAATCAAAATATCCTTTTTGCGGATATAAAAAGAAATATCGGACAGAGTATCAGGTCACTGAGGCCGCTGGGCTGCACAGTTACGTAGCAGCCTTGGTGGTATTTGATGTTTCTTTGCCGTTAATTACATTATCGGCTTTTGTCGGCACGAAAGCAATTCAAATGTATACTATGTAAAGAGTTAGTATATACTTAGGTGCTTATTAATTGCCTATGAATACCTCGAAATATAAATATGTCTAGACAGTCGTTTGACGTTTTCATAGGCATTAAGCTTTTTGCTTTCCTGAAAAAGTAGCTGGCAATATTAAACGCTCTCTCGTACTCAGAGTCTACAAAATCAGAACAAAGGTAACCCGCGAGGCTTCTGCCGGTGATGAACTGAAATACCATTTGCTTTAGGTGCAACGATGTTAGCTTACATTTGCCTGATATCAACTTCGGTAAGCACAATAGCTTAGGTCTGCCTCGCCGTTATTACTAACCTCACCTTTAGTTCCTCTAAAAGGGATTTAAATGTCAAACAGATGTTTGCTTATTGGCACGTTTCAGAATCGGTCCCAACTCTCTCGGCAGATCAGAAAATCTAAACCGATCTTCGGCGGCATCAGTGAATTTCTCAAAAACGAATGTTGGAAATCTCAAACGGCATCAATGAATGCTCTCAAGAACAAATTCTGGAAATGTCCGGTTAACAATAACTGCAAAAAGTAGTGGTTAGATTACATTTCGAGAAAACTCAGATGCCCAAAGATAAGAGGCATTCGTTTCTAGCTTTTTTTTTGTTACTGTAGAAGAACTTTGGGCACTACTTTGCGGAGAGTGGTGAGCAGTCTGGTCAAAGCCCCTTCGCGTATTTTCAGGATGGTTAAGATTGTTCAAAGCACTTAAACAACTAGTCTTTTTGCTTATCAGGTAGATTACAAGGTCGTATCGGTTGTTTTGGTCCGGACATACCATAAACATAACACGCCTGTTATTTCACCGCATAAGATGGTTACGTCTTAAATCATGACAAGTGGGCGAATACCTTTAAGTACTATTAATTGATCTCTTTATGAATTCAATGTTATTAAGCATTTCGGAGATACTAGCACCTAGCGGTTCAGGGTATATAGGAAGGTTATTACTTTAATGAGCTTGATCACATACTCTTCCCGTTACACTGTTTATCGCGATTAATAGTACCCTAGAACTAGTCAGACGCTTTGCTAGAAGCCAGGGGCTCGATGGCAGGCGCTTCGTTTACATTTAGTATCGTAAAAGAATTTAACAGTATATTGAAATGGCCAAGAGTGACCCCAATCGTTTTTTGTTAATTGGCTCTAGTTTCTTTCTTATTTTAAAAGAAACGAGGTTAGAAGTTTTCACTTTCGGTGAGAAAGGATTAGTAGCCTGGTGCATATTTTATGAAGTCCATTTGTCAACGAAAAAACCGTAGATCTCGCCCGCGACGAGCATCCGTGATAATTTCATCGCAGATTTTCCGATACAAAGATACCAATTATATAGCTAGATACGGCTTTGAAAGGCGCAACGTCTTGGCACACATATGTAGACATTTGTTTAACGTGAACAGTTTTTGAAATGATAGGAAAATTAGATAGCTTCATGTCAAATATTTGCCATTTTGTCGGCAAATTGGCGTTTGCTAAAACTCCAGCCAGGTTTCTTATAAGCTTAAAATGCAATGGTCTATATAGAATTACCTTACCCTAGCCCATATAGCCCCTAGGGCAGTCATGTAATGTAATTCAATACAACGATTTTCAGTTTGTCCTTGAAGACTTTTAAGTTTGGGACTAGCGAAGTTATGGTTGAAAAACGAGCCTGTTTTGTTTGTTTATCGTTCACCAAATGTTCCATACCGAACAGTTATATACTCTACCTGTAAATTTCAAACGACCTACTAACACGAATTACACCAAATTACTAACTTATAGAGATTTTTATAATTGAGCAGTTTTATAGCATTAAAATTTAGTATCAGTGTTCTCTTAATAAAAAAAGACGCAGGCACCCATATGGACCCTGTTCTATATAGATTTTTATCCAACGAATTATCGCAAGGACACTTAAAATCGGTTGTGTATGTTGAGGTGCGTAATCCATGACTTACCGTAGTGTATAAAATGTGTGTAGCCAACGATTTAACTTCATGTGTAACACCTGTGTGAGCCCACCACTTGACCTAATGCATAACGCTTATCTACTCAGCTAATTTAGTACTAAGTGAACGTACACTGCTTGTAAAAGTTACTGTATGAATTTCGCGCTCTGACAATGCTCTTCTTCACTTTTTCCGTAACCCAATTGTGAAAGCGCACCGTATTCAAATCCACAATCAGGTCGCTCTTTTTGTCCTTGCGAATTTCAATTGGACCAGACCTCGAAGCACAGGCCAGAGTAAATTTATATATTTATTAATAAATATTTAACATATCCTTCTCTACTCTGACTACGATAGTTAGCCATCACCTATCAATCAGCACGTTTCCACCCATCGTCGATCGAATTTTTCAACACAGCGGACGTCTCCTCCGTTGAGCATACACAAAACAAAGGTCACCACAATGACGTCTGCGATAAGTCTCATCCGGTCGATAAGGGGTGCCGTGTCTGGCAGACAATGTATATTGATTCAAAAGCGTTGTAAAGCATGAAAATACGTAATAAACAGCTTGTAGATAATCATAGCTTGTTCTAGGAGTTGTAACTGTCAAGTGGCTTCAACTGTTACCCGTGAAAAACCCTATTCATAAGTGAGATAAAATGGCTCCTTAAACATATTTGCTTGTAGAAAGGTTACGAAATATTTTGTTTATATGCTGCTTTAGCGCTACAAACCTTGCGTTTGCTCATGCCGCTTTGAACAAGAATAGCGAAATCACCAATTTCATGTGGCACTTCGTGCAGTAAAATCGTTACTGTCGATACAATGCCTGCAGTGTTGCCTGGAATATTACAAATCGAAATGAAGGTTGGAAAACGGTTGCAATGTATCAAGATAGTAAACACAAGGTAGTACGTACGTACCTGCAAGGAACGATGCTCCTATGGCAAGGCCATCAGTGAAATTATGAGCAAAATCAGCAGCGAGGTTGAGATACGCTGCTACTCGAATGTCCGATCCTTCTACATCAGAATCTGAAAAGCGGAAAAATCATTTAAAGCTATAATCGAGAAAGACACCGATAGCACCTTATGGCACATTTTTTTCCTCATAGACGCATGATGGAGATAACCTCTATTGAAAGTGTTTACAAAAACAAGAATTTTAAATACTTTCAAGCGACACTTTCCTTAACGTGACTCAGAAAACAGTATTATTTGTGAGACTCATTTCACCAAGGAATGCAGCTTCTGCTAAAAACATCAGTGCACAGCAAAATACCAAGTAGTATATGTACTTGTACTCATCATAAACGCTTATTTGGTGGGGAAGGCTGTTTACTGGATTTTTTATTGATAATAAGTGAACAAGTGCTTCAAGCATATCTGAACTGCATTAAAGTAATATGCTTCAATTTATTGAAATTTTCACACACCACGGTCACAAAGCTTGGTTAATTTAGTATCCTCTCTTGCCTTGCGATCTCCAGCAGCTGTTTCCTTTGACACTTTTTTCAGCCCTTTTGATTTTTTCGACTCTTTTGCCATGTCCTTTTTATCGCCAGTAGTGGACTCGGTAGCACTGGGTGACGTGTTGATCCTGTGTGAGTGGCTGTGACCGTGATCTCCGTGCGAATGATTGCCTATAATAGTGATACCTTCGACTATAGATTCATATAGTTCTATACACCTGTCTCACTATGTGTCAAGAAACTATACTACTAAAAAAAAAAAAAATAGGAAGACAACTGTCTTTATGACACTGCACCAATTATTTGCTGCCATGTTGACACGTACTGGTATTTAACTGGGTTCGTAAGACTGAGGAGTAGGCAGAAAGTCTTGGTATTGCCTTTTTTTGGCAATGGCTGTATCAACTCATATACGCTTCATAGCACAGTTACAACTGTGGCCCAAGCTATTGTGTGGTTAAACAATATTTAAATAGTTTTTACAGAATTTAAGGCCTTGTTCTTACAAAAAGAACCTAACCGCTTTGTGGGCGACACAAAACAGGGATTACCATTGAAAGATTACAAATCGGACTTGAAAAAATTTACGAGAATATATATAATAGATACATTCCTTTTTTTCAAAGAATCTGAATCTCAGTCACACTCTAACCGAATTTTAGTGAATCTAGGGTTTAAGGTTTAAAAACTGCGTAGTAAGTATGAGAGCTGTTAGATACATGGATGAAGTCATAATATGGCACGGTGTGCAGTACCTTTGCTAAATAATTAGAGTTGTCTTAGCACCGATTTTTTGCTTTCACAATAAAAAGTTTAGCGACTCTATTTTTTTGTGATATAACCGTGCAATCAGTATTATTAAAAAACGTGGCTGAAGGGTTAGTTAGTGATGGCACCCCATAGGCATAATCGTTCTGGGATTCGTTTTCACATATATTTCCGATACATAAGGAAAGAATCATAGTAGTCTGTAAACGATAATTCAAATTTATCATCTTATAACAAAGACCGCGATGCCCATTTTGCAGACTTTCTGCTTTGTAGCCTCTCCCCGTCAAAGGTGAAGTATACTACAAGCTGTACTCCAAAGCCAATAAAGACTATTCGACTGAGCAACCTCGAAGAAAGAAAAAGTTAAATAGATGAAAGAAAATATATTCAGTTAATGGATAAGTCACCACTTTTTTTTATTACTTCTCTTCTCAATTTGTCATTTTGTTGGTGTCCAAGTGTTAGATACCACTGAGAGATCATTGGTCGTACACGCCTGTGACTCTTTCTTTTTTTTTGGGCGATAAACGTATTTCCGAGTATAGATTATTGGGTGGGTTTCAAACGACGACAGTTTAGTCATGTCAATCAAGTAAATACCATACTCAAGATAAAAACCTATGTGAATACAAAACAACTCTTTACGAGAACCCGTGAAGAGATAAAAAGCCAGAACTATTTCAGAGAAATGATCAAACAAAACAAAGTTAAGTAATCAGAAGACTAATATAGCTTGGAAATGTTCTTTTTATTTCAATTTAAAATACAAAGTATCAAAACGGCGCCTATTATATCTCAAATTTACATTTTTCTCTTCTTTTAATTCGATCGTCGGATTGAAATCGATCTTCCCATTACTTTTAGCCTTCAAACGTTCAGCTTTGTTGTCTCTTATTTTTTAACTTGAATGGCTTTTCCTTCAAAAATGAAAAACTGACTTTCTTTAAAAAAACTTAAAAAGCCATTTTAGAAACTAGATTTGAAATAATTTGCAGTTTGAATGCAAAGAATACAAAGGATTCGGCCTTTGCAGGAAATGCAGAAGCCGTTTTGTAATTGGCGATCAGCAAGCGACAAACTGAGGGCGGCATCGCCTAAACGGTTAATACATCTCTAAGTGCATTGCCATAGAAATCATGTAAAGTTAGCATGCAGTCACGCCGATTTAAACAATATCGTTTGCAAAAATAATTTCCAGGAAAGTATCAGTGCACATATGGTTACCATGCCATCTCATCGATCTATGGGAGGATCTCTTGTCAGTCTGAGTATAACCTAGATATGTTCATCAACAGCCGTTCCGGTTACCCCTGTCGGTGAAGCACATTGTTGATGTTGTGTTGAAGGTCGTCGTATCTTGTTTCACGAAAAAGATAGCCGGGGTGTATACTTTAACAAAAAAAAACGAGAATTTGAAAAAAAAGCAATAAATAAAAAAAAAAGAGAAACCGATCCACTAAATAAACGCGTTGTTTTAATTGTTACAAGACCATGAACTTTGTCCCTTCGAGCTAAGACCAAAATGAAAACTTCCATTTGTTACGCACTTCTGAGGTCCAAGGATCTGCTATATATAAATGATGTTGTTGGCAAATTTGCCGCGGCCGTTTTTTACTGGCAGTACGGATCCCGATTGGTCTCGGACTACTGATTCCGGTTTACATGTTGTTTCTAGCAGCTTAATTACTGTGGTACGTTTCGAACACCTTATTTTCTGCTAACACTCGCCATTCAATAATGCGTGTACATATTTTGGAAATAGATGGTCCTCACGATACATCATGCCCACGCCTTTCGCCACGCCACGCCAAATTTTCGAATAAATCGCATCAGGTAAAACTGTTTGACGATCGTCGCTATGTCACAGTCGATTTTTCCTATCGATGGCCTGCTTATCTGACGATAGTTTTCTTGAAAACGTGATACGAGCGAAACTTCAAAATGAAGTCCGTTTGGATCCTACCAAGCAGTTGAGTTCAAAACGCATATCTGAACGCTAGCGAATTGTTCAGTCTTCAAATGTTTGGGGTTTTTTTTGTGCAGTATGCAATCCCCATAACAAGCAAGATAGAGATGTCAAAGATGTTGTTTCCCAGTCTGACATGCAATCTTTATAGCGAAAACTCGACTGATTTTTCGTTGCCCGCTGGATGCATCTTGACCGGTGGAGCAGAAATACCGCCTTAGAGCAATGTGTTTTTTTACAGCTAACTATCAGTTGTCCCATCTATGGCAAGTTTCGGTACCATTATTCAGTATTGCTTCAAGGCCTTGTCAGCATAGAATGCGTACTATGCAGAAAAATTACTATTTTCATCACCTTTCCAATTGCTTGGATTTTACCTAAAAGAACAAAGTAGTCTCTAAATTCGAACCTGACCCATTTCTGTGCTGTCCGATTGTTCATCATCGTAGGAACCTGGATAGTTTTTTTTTGTGAATACTTTTAGCTAACAGCAGATGGCTTCTGGGAATAGGATGTAAATAACAGCGGTAGGACTATTTTTATAAAATTAATGTTCATTACGTATGTAGCTTAAGGTGAATGAAATCACATGGTAACTTTTTAATTAAGCAAAAACGTGAAGGAGAAGATAATCCCCCTTTTTGAACTTTTTATCAAAGTTCAAAAAGGGAGAACAACATGATGGCCCAACAAACATAAACGTGTTGAAATTATTAACATCAATCTCAATCAATGTCAATGGACATCTTTTTTGTAATATAGGTAAAATCTCAGGCTCGTTGAGCATCAATAGAATCGCGATAATTTATAAATAATTACTTATTAATAATTATAATAACAGTATGTACAAGAGACATTAGGAGTTAAATAAAAACAGGTCACACTTACCGTTAACCATACGAACAAATTTCTCCACAATAAGGAATGCTAGGATACCCAGAAGAACGCCGAGCCCCACAGTATTGTCGTGGTGGTGGCCTAAAATAAATTTTTTGATTCAAATTTATTTTTACCTTGAACTAGAACATGGTTTAAACAAAAACATTAATTTTATACTTTAAGCACGATATAATTTTAGCAAATAATTATTTTATCATTTCTTGTCAAACAAAAATAGACATGTCAATATTTAGGGTTCAAGCAGTGAAATACACCAGTTCGTAGAATTGATAACATGCGTGACCAATAATCATTATAATACGAACAGGTTTTCGGTACGCTGATTCCAACTTGATCGCCCGAAGTAACAGGTAGCTATATAACCTTTTTTTTTTTTTATGTATTCAGAGATGGTTTAGTTAAGGTTTTCTCCTCAAGTGATTTAGTAGAAATAAAAAATACTACCATGTTCGTCTGAAGGCAAGTGCTCGTGATGATCATCTTTCGAGTCATTTGGTCCGATGTGCCTGTGAGGGTTCATTGCATGAGGAATTAGGTGGAGAAACGCGTCACCTAACAGTCCACCGGATGCAAAACTCAACAAAGTCTAAACGCAATAACGTTGAATTTAGTGTTGGAATAATATTTTTTTTTATTATTAATTATTTGATCTTTAAATGACGAATTTTTGAAACGAAGTCTCTGGACTGATTTAATCCAAATATGCATTCGTTCTCTGATTTCCAAGGCGGGCGCGTCATCAACATATCATAAATAGGAGAAATGGAAAATGCGATACAATATCATTCAATTAAATCTCAAACATCTTAATAAGATATACCTTACATACCGGTGGTATGTAGCTGTAGTAGTGTGATACTGAATGGCCAAGCTTAGTGAAAGGCGCGCTAAAGAATCAGTTGCTAAGATTACTAGCGATCAAAACAGCGTCATACTATCGGAGAATATCTAAATATTACATGCATGTGTTCGAGCCGATCTTTTATTGAGAAAGACGATTGGCGGATAAGCCTATCATAATGTGGTTCAGGTTTTAACTCAATTGCGCCTACCATTTGACATTAAGCTGAACCTCACTGATGCAAAGCTGCTCTCGTGCAGCCGCTTTGTTCCATTTTGTAGTAGCATTTCAAGAAATGCTTACCACCGCAAACAGTCTCTGTAATAGGCTCTTCGTAATCGGAGCCTAGTAATTTGGAATCATTACAACTGCGCTTCATTGAAATTCCTACTATAACCATATATCTGAAAACATACGAAAGCGGAAGAGAATCGGCGTACCATATTTCCTCCTAGATGCTGAACAAACATGACAACAGCTTCGAGAAAGAACTAAGAAAAGTAATTTTTTAATAGATATTTTTATAGTTTGAGGATAACATGTCTTTCAAACGCGAGACCAAGATCGGATGGCGAAACCGTGGTAGTACCCGTTTTTAGGTTCTATTACATCCTTATGAACTTTGAAAACAGAAATCAAAATACGGGAAAGGCACCATTAACCATGAAAATAAAAATTCTGGACATCTCTTGAAGCGTCCTGAGGGTGGCTTGCCATTATTGTGTCAAGGTTAGGTATCGTGCCTGTAAAAAGCTGTAGTTATACTATGGACGGACCAGTTGCAGACGTTACGTTTATGCAGGACCCCAAACGTCAGTCAAAATGTGTTTAGCGTCAAAGGATTTTTACAATTTCCTTTACAGAATAACGCAAAAAAATCTCTGCACAGATAGCAGTACTAAAATCCGCTCGTTAACTATAGACATACCCTTTTAATGAATGAAACAGAATACTATTTATTTGTCCTAACCGCTATCACTAGGTGTCAGAGTTAACAAAGAAAATAGCTCTACACGATGTCTGCACCTGTGAGCACGTTTATCAATGGTTTCGACGAAGGCGATGTAATTAACATAAAAATTTCAACAAGTTTTGACTAAGTAAAACGAAAACATAATAAATTTTCCAGCATACAATTTGGAAAATGAAACGTATTAACTGAAACGCCATGTGCGTTTACTTTTTACTCAAGTATGTTAAATTTAAAATCGTTGGGCGCTGTTATTGATTCTGTCATTTTTGCTCTTTGATTACAAATATTACAATGTGAACAGCTTTTCGGAACAGAGCCGCTTCTGCTCTTAGCTTGTTGGCATTTTTCTAGAGGCTCATTTCTTAGAAAAAATAATGGCTAGCTCCAATTTCATCATATGATAAGTTCAGTAAAATTTTCGTTAAAGACAGCACGGAGTGCGTCGTCTTGACGTCCATAAAAATTTATTCTATTATTATCTTCTATACGATACAAAGTAACCAACAGACTTACGGCTATGGCTTTATGACACACCTTGGTCAAAGGTTGGTTAGAAAGATGCACGTAAACAGCGACATCTAGCTAATGAAATTTAGTTTTCTCTCAGTTACGTTTTTGCACAAATTTGATGGGATATGGATTTGTGCACCAAAAAGGTGGACTGATAAGAAAAAGAAATTGCTCCCTATAAGGTACAGAAGTGCTACCAATGCCAGTCATCTAGTGCCCTATGGTTACGAAACGAAAGTGCGGACAATTCATGGTTTCCACAGTAGTGTCTTAGGAAATCCAAAAGTTGGAAGCTGTGATGTATTCTCGATCAAAAATCGACCAAGGCTAAATGTTTTAAGGTAGCAGCACGTAAACCGTATGGGCCGGTCATCACGGAAATCAGTAGCAATTAGTTCACGGAGCATGAAAATTAATATGACAACTGTTGCATGATCCTACGAAAGCTTAATAATTCGCAATCGTAAACTGAGTCTCTCAATTAAAACTCTGTTAGGAGAATCTGAAAGCAGCTGGAAAGCGCCATGTTTAAATTGGGGAAAATTTTGCTAGGCTGTTTATCGCAACGACCATGCGTTCACACTATTGGCGGTATCAAATGAAAACCAGTTCGTTATGGAGAATAACGGTGCGCCGTTTTCGGCATTTGCGTGCAATTCAGTTATTATCTAATTCTTCCACGCTCGATAAATTCCCATCAAAATTTTTTTTACCCAAAGTCAACGTCTACGTTATTGCCAGTTTGTATGCGGCTCCTAAAAAAAGAGGAACACTTTCATAAAGCAAACCTGAAGACCCTCATTAAGGTTTAACCTTAAAGGGCTCAAAAATTTATCAATATGGCTCAAAAGGCCATTTTTAATGCATTTGAATACAGAAATTTACGGTCGTTTTAGAGAAGAGAATGCTAGTTTAATAAATAATCAAATAAACCCAAGCGGTCAGTATTCTGAAGAGTTTTCGCGCCTTCCTGTCCTCTGAGCCTTTGAGATTGAGCTTCGCATTTTTAGTAGTTTTAGCCTAGCAGCGGCCCAAAATTTGACTTTGTTGGGGTTTCTAGTGTATAGCTTACCTTAGCAATATTTTTAGCACAGCATCAAAAAGTTATTCGAGGACTGAAAAAAGAATATTTCGAAATCGACCGTTTAATAGTCTAGTTCCAGCTGTATAGCGAGATTCGCAGCTGTATTTATGGTCATTGGTGGTTACGTTAATCAAACACGATTCTCAGGGATGACATTCGTAGCATATGCAAAAAAATCGTCCAAATAGTAGTTTTTGTTTAAATACAATCTTTTCTACAAAAAACATATCATATATACAACAACATATAGAAAAAAATACAATCTTTTTATTGATTTTTTGATTCGTTGGCGGAGGTCCGACCGGTATACAACAGGTCGAAGTATAGCTCACGCACTAGTCTCCGGTCGTAGTCGTTTCAAACACGATTAAAATGTATTGCTTTTATTGTAATAAATTACTAAGTACGTATTCGATGTGAATAAAGAGAAATATGATTTAAAAAATCGAAGGCCAATCAATAGGGCGGAGTCGATATCAGCAAGAGCAATTGCCGTAAGGTTATTGTGGACACAATACGAGTTTAAGGAGTCAATCTGGGTCTACTCATCCGTTACAGAGTGTTTTTTGCACGCACGTGATCTTAGCCTACCTGCAAACTCATAATATTTCGGTAACAGCAATTTCGATAGTGGCGCCATAGTTCACAGGTTTTCCGATAGCACATAAATATATATTCAACATTATGCTGTTACTACTTGAACTCATTTGCAAGTTAAGCAGGAGGGCTTACTATTAATCTTCAAAGCTCCGAAGCTCTACCAGTTGCCCGCTCGTAGAGATATGCAATGAAAGGAGGGGCTTATTTGTCTAAATTCCCAGCGATGCGCAATCATCTTGCTTAAGTAAGGTTTTTTAAGCCGTGATAAATACCAAAGTTTAGCGTAGGAGACGCGCTTAATTGTTTAATTACTAAACAGTAAAACCATGCAGAATCTCGGTAGAAGCTAAGTATTCTTGCAGACATATTCACCTGGGTAGATTATTCAGCAAAGTACTTGCTCTGATACTAATAACTCTCGAGTCTCATTCTGTTTGCACAGTGGGAAAACTGGCCTCTCTACCTAGATATAGTAAGCGCGCTGCACTGCTTTTATAACCATCAACGGTCTTTAGAAATCGTTTCGTCATTCCATAACGATGTCGCCTCAGAATGCATACACAGGCGCTAGTGTAAGTGAAGCCGATAGTCTAGCAACAGAGATTGAGGCTACAAAATACAACTACAACGTAAGCAACATTATAATAGGGCTCAATCAAGTAGGAGGTACAGTCGCGAAAGGTCGTCATTCGATCTATGAAGCCGCCTTCTGTCAACGGCTGCAGTCCATTGGTCGAATATTCGTATATCGTAGTAGCGGACGCGCTCGCCAAATGGACAAAGATTCTAAATCGACTTTTGCTATGTATACTTTTCTGAGGCCTGCGTTGACCGAAGTAATCCTGCGGGATTAATCACCGACAATAGGGATTAATTTCCCTGCGCAAAGTATTTTGGTCCATTTATCGTTCCATCACCAGTGGGCAAACTGAGCGTTTTCTAGATCCTATCAATCAAAACCTGTGAGAGCTCTACGCTCTTTGAAACTTACCACAGCATTTCTTCCGACATCTATTTCTGTCTAAGTACGATTTCTTTCTATTACATCTATTTCTAAGTACTATTTCTGTCTTAACCGATGCGGACAACGTTAGGCTTGCTTTGATCGCGCAGAGAGTTGCGCGGCTGCGAGACGGACATAGCCGACCAGCGTAATGTTGACACATGAATAAGGTTTTAGCTAAATGATACCAGGTGTGCAACTCCTGCACACCTCCAAAGCCAACGTCGGTCCTTGCAGGATATTAGAGAAAAAGGCAACTCGATCAACTTTTTAACATCTAAGCTGGCTATGTGCTTGAAAATTTGCTGGCATTTAAAAATGACTGCTATACTGACAACCGATAGATTCGATGTGCCAACTGGCTAAAACCCAAAATTGGCTATAAACACAGGACCGACCTTGGTCTCTATCGGTTCCACTAATCACTTCATATGCAGCGCAATTGCAATTATCGTCCAGATAAGAGCGACAGTTTAACATTTATGGGCACATTACCGCGAAGCTCGAGTTTTACCTCGAATACAGTTTGATTATTGGCAATTGGCCCTGACAACAAGTTTCACGGAAAGGTCGCAAGTAAAATGAACTAGAGATAAAATTTTGTAGAAAATTGTATCGGTTTATTTTTTAACTTGGTAACTACTTTTATTTTCTGAGCGAGTCTTTTACGCAAGAGCCCTCCTTCAGAAACAGAAAATATTATTCTTACATAAAACGAATTATATCTTGTTTTTCAGTCTGATCGTTCTCGTCTCTACTCTACCCTTTTTATCTTCCATACCGTCTATTTGTTGCTAAAACCCTATGCAAACGTGACGTGTAATTTAATAACGAAATTTACATACCTACATATTATAAGTCTTAATGACGTTTGTTTACGTGTCGATTGCTTTATAACTACAGAAAAAGGTCACATCTAGTGAGTTCATTTGAGAGAGTTGCCGCATACAGCGGGCTCGAGTAGAGCAAAGTCGGACTTTCATTCAGCATATCGCAGGCCAACATCGTAAAAATGTGGTTCAAAGCCCACACTACTAACAGATTAGGATGAACTCTTACAACCATTGATTGGTGGTGATAGTCTTTATCACATTTATTCCACAAAATTCGACAATTCTGGAAACTAGTTTTGGCGGGCAGCCCAGCAACTGCGAACAAAGGACTAGCTATGATACATAAGGTTTACCTGGCTGAAGTGCCAATAGATTACCTTTAAAAAGTCCTCATGGCCGGTGCGACCAGCAATGGGTATGAGTGTTAGAATCAAAAATGGGGCAACTGAAATTAGTAGTGTCGCCCCAATTGCTTGCATCCACAACGTTGTTATGTCTAGTGGAGTCTCTTTTTTGCGGTGTCCATGGAAGTGTTCTCCTGCAAAACAAAGTTTACTACACTTTGTTTAATAACTCGTTTTAAACCAGCTTATCGGAACCAAATTCACTTTCGGCCACATTGAAAGTACCGGGTACCGGTAGTAACAGAAATGCATATTGCTCATTGGAAATTTATCTAAATCTAGCTGAATCTTATCGAAATTTGGCTAAAAAGTCTGTCAGTCAGAAGAAATCAGTCTAAAAAAGCAACGATAGACCTGTACACCCGTGCTCTTACCTTGGATTTTGTGGTAAGGGGCGTCAGAATAACCGTGGTCGTGCCGAGAAGAGTAATCATGATGGGAATGTTCATTCTCATCTTCAAAGAAATGTCTACGCTGATCATGGTCTTGTCCATGAGAATGTCCAAGGTGGTAGCTGACGTGTAAAGTGTTGTAGTTTTCTTGGCTGTTGCCGTGATCTGCGTGAAGATATGCGGCGCGCTTCTGCAATAATAGGTTAATACCGAATTAGCTTTCGCTTATTTAATAACTAAAGGAAAATGACACAGCCACTCAAGAAAATTCAACACAACAAACGCAAACTTATAGTGATTTTTATAGCATTTTTAAGTGAATTTTAGCTAATTTTTACAGCTGAAAAAGTGGACGATTATGCTAGCAATAATTTTTATTAATGTAAATAGTAATAATTATAGTACGATTCAAGTGTTACAAAGCCGATTATTCAGAGGCGCGGAACTCACCGTTTTTAATGATCGATTGACATGGTTCGTTTATGCGCGTTTCGATTTCATGAAACACGGTTTCTATTTTAATCTGTAGCACTAGCAGCCGATAATACCCGAACGTTGATAAAGAACACAGACCTTATTTAGCCTTACATTCATATAGACTTCAAAAAAAAGCAACGCAATTATTGCGAAGTGAAGATGAAGCGAGATGGACGGTGATGACAGCACTGAACTAAATTAAACAGATATTCTAGAGGCCCTATATGAACTTCTTTTATTTCTGTAAGGAATTTGATCGTCTGAATGTATAAAACTGCAACCGCATTGTATATAATACTTGTGTTGCACACTGGGAAGATTTCGAAAACAACGGATTTCTCAAGGGCTTGATGGTAATAGCACTGCAGAAAAGAGTTTTAGAGCAAACTGTATTTGAAAACGCATTTTACGACGAAAACAATTACTTCGAGAAGCAAATTTTCAGGGGGTGTTATCAATAAACAGAAGAATCGCAGCCAGTATATACAGAATGATCATGATATGTATGCTTCGCGGTAAACTTACGTTTACCTAATTTCCTCAACTAACTTAGCATTTCGAATGAGCAATAGCAACTGGCGCTGTTTCAGTGGAATCACACATCTACTTTCTACCATAGAATGTTGTATTTCTGTAACGAGAACGAGAGATAGAGCACGATGCATAGCCACTTTAAACTTACAATGTAGTTTCTGTAAGGGCCGTTAAGCATCTCGTATACCCAGATGCTTACTGACTTAAGTGAAAACGTGAATCAACGAAACAATTGATTATATATGCTAAATTAGGATCGCCTTCCGACTGCTCACTAGTCTATGTAGCTAACATTTGACGCTTAGTATGGTCTACATACTTAGGCTCGTGAGCCTATATAATCTTATAAGATTGAGAAGCAAAGTATGCGTTCAGCAGACGGCGGGTAGTACCAAATGCGAAGTGCGTGACTGTTACGATCAACGAAAAATTAAAGTTTTTGATTTCGCTGATTTGCCTTAGCTCGCGCAACACCAGCTTCTTTTCAGGCCGCATGACAGCAGGCATGGACCTACTCTTTTTAAACTAAGCACACACTACCGGGCGTGATTCTTAGACTTAGAATATTTTAACAGAATTTTCTATAAAGTGCCATTCTTGATGGTCATGCTCATTTAATATATCTAGGGGTCACTGCCGTTGCGTCTTCGATTCGCAGCCTAAACTACTCACCAGTCTTTTTTTAAAGTATTTTGCGTCAATCGGCAAATAGATTTTTGGTAGTAACCGTGTGTCGAACGATGGTTTGTGTAAACATATTAGAGAGTCGGTAAAATGAATTATACACCAAAAAGTTACAGACGAGTTAAAATGTGTGCTGGCAGCAGGTCAGTAGTCTTAGATTAGCAAAAAATCAAGAACTTCCAAGCTCTATTATATCTAAATTCTATCGAAAATCTTCCGTCTACCCGAAAGGAGCCTTCTTTCAATTTTTCAGAAGCCGCATGAAAACTGGTTATAATGTAGACCGTCAATGTCGGACAAAATAATAGGTTTTAAGTTTATTGAATGTTCAGCCAGCATAAAAGATTTGATAACTGCTAATCGCCGCTTAAAGTAGGACTGTCGCTTAAAAGTTTTTCGCCATAACTGTTGTTATGTTTTAGAAGTTGGCTACTTCCTTGTATCACGAAGAGAGGACAAACCCAAGCCGTTTGTAGAATCCAACACCAGAAACAGCCGGCTAAAGTTCAACTGGATTTAGACGGAGCACCCACTACATACATAGACCGTTTGGAAAGTACCCATATCTTTGTCCATTGTCTCGGTTTTCCAATTCTTCGTTGTTGATGGTCAAGTGTTACATACCATCGGAATATGATTTCTCCACATTGCCGTTTTGATCACTTTTTTAAGAGCGCAAAATTTTACTTTGAACTGAAATTTCAAAGATCGATATGTCCAGTAATCAAAGGCGTCATTATTTAGCACTTAACACTCATTTAGCACACTCATCAAATAGTAGTGACGCAACCTTACAAAGGTGTGGCGTGTATGATAACAGCTCTATAGCTGAGAGCACTACAGAATTACCTTGCTATCTATAAATAATAAATTTTCGGCCTAAAGGTTGCACTTCAACCAGGACTTCAATAGTTCAATAATGACCACTTTGTAACTCACTATCAGCGACCAAAATATTAGAAAAGCAAATCAATAAGTAAACAACGCGATTTTCTTTCGAACACTTGAAAGTAGAAAATGAATTTTACAACTAAATAGAATGACACCAATGCAATTCTTTGCTGTTATGCTTTGAATGGTTATTAGTTATCGTTCAATGACTTTATTAGTTAAGTCTCACAGCATAACATTCCTTGAAACAACTTACACGGTAATAAACATCAATAGTTAAAACAACTCTAATATGGCACCTAATTAAAATAACGTATAAATGAATCACAAATATTTTAAATACGAGTAGTAACTCATGCGCTGTAAATCAACACACCTGCGCAGCTTCGTTTGCCTGTCGGGAGTATTTGAAGGATGGAGATTCCACGTGTGCTTCGACGCACAAAGCCACAACCCAGCTTATCGTGTATATCAAATACAATCGTTTACAAGGAATCATATCCGCAAAATTTCTTTGCATTCAAGCTAGACGGTAATTTGTAATCACATGCGATTACAATAACCTGTTTCAGAGGCAAATCACTGGTCTAAAGGATATCAAAAGATGCAATAACAATATAAATACACAGATTGCAGTTGGTCTCCTGTTTATAGTAGACAAACTATTTACTCTCCACGTGTGATGGCACATATCATCTTCCATAGGGAGACCAAAATAATCAAGATGGCGGTCTATCCTATATAACAAAACATTCTCAATATGATTCAGTGTATTGTTATACATCAGGCTGCCTTGCATTAAGACATACAGGTTTAATGAAACATGACTTGACCGCAAATCAACCAATAAAATACATAAATGATAGGTTATATATGACTGTAATATTTGACTGCGAATTATAACAGTAATCTTATGTCGTAAATATATTAAGAATGAAATATCATAATAGAAATAAAAACTAGGCCGCTTAATTTTGTTTAAAATAACTTCGTCCTAACATTGTGGTTATGTGCCTCCATTGGTTAATAGTTAATAACTCATAGTCGTATCTCCTATAGATCGCATTGTTTTGATTAAATTCTAAGACCCTTGCCTCTATCCAGAAACGTCAATTTATCTCAGATGTTAAAAATCAGATAAGGCTTTATGAAGCATCTTCTAAGAGACCTTAGATCATATTTCTTTGGCTATCGAAACGTATATATTCTCTTTGTGATAACGGTGTTGTTGGCGTCCTGCTTTTACTAAAGTCCTCAACCGAAAAGAAATAATTCAATTTTTACTAACTGTGAGTTTTCTTGCGGAATTTAGATTCTAGGACTGCCATTAAAACGGAAGCCACAATCTATGTGTCGATTACTGTTAGCCCCAACTTGTTTCCTAAGGGATTCGATATCATAGATCATATCCAAATAAAATGACACGCAGAAACACATGGTGGTGGTATCTTAAATAAAAAAAAAAAAACAGTAAATGAAAATTGTGTGCCTTTAGATTTTAATCGTTAGAAAATGGTCAAGTAACGATTTTAAACTTAGTCTCTACAGGGTTTCAAATAGTATGTACAATTTATGCAGTATATTTGTTGGTATTATGTGGTTGCGTTCGACATGGAAAGTATCAAATTGGGCTTTAACGCAAGGTTATTTATTTTACTTATTAAAGCCAGTCATAAAAAATGCGAAGCAGATCCAAACTGATTGAATGACACACTTCATTGAATAATGCACCTGTTTAAGTGCCGCTAATTTAAATTTAAATATTATGCATAATATATGTATATCCATGATTAGTTCATAAAACGACTTAGAAATTCCCGAAAAATATCTATTGCTGTCAATAGCTAATAATGAATTATTTTATTATTAGTTATAATAACCGAAAATATTCTTTGTAGGAAATCAAACAATTGCCAGCAGGGTGTAGTTTCACAGCAGACCCTGTTCCAGCTTTATTCTGTATAATTCAACCTATCTGTACTATTAATAACCATACTATAACTTCACTTCCCAAGAATTGTAGAAGGATGTTCTGTTTCCAAATTTTGTTGTCAATCTATAATAAAAAGAGGTCTAAGATGTAATTCAGATAACTATTAGTATATGATTACTAAGTATGGTGGCACAGAAATGTACCGCATGTATATTGTTGTATAAATCACGTTTACGTTCGTTCTCAGAGGATGCCGAAGTTAGATGAGCACTAACATAGCCCAGTCAGGTGTCAAATATTGCGGCACGTTTCTTTTCTGGAGCTGTTCGAGCAAGTCTGCCACAACTTGTCTGCTATGGACCATCAAACTGACAGATCACGCTGTTAATTGTACCGCACGATACCCCTGTAAGGTCTTCAAGGTTAATCCTTTAGTTGGGATCCATTTTTGTTTCTCTTGTTAAATTTGTCCCATATAAATCCCAGCGAATTTATAGTGTAAACTTCGTGCAGATAATTTCCAACTTTAAAGCCTTACAAATACAGAAAAGAAAGTTCCTAACTAAAATTATTTAGGTTTTATCGTGGTGTAGAGAATGATAGGCTTGACTAAATAAAAAAACAACTGCACCATCGTATTGGCTTAATGGCATGATTTAACAAATTGTCATCGGTTGTTGTCGACTAGGTGTCTCGGGGTCAAAATAAGGGCTGAGTTGGATTTTAAGTAACACGTAATTTGAGTGGTTAAATTTGCATTTCAGATATGCAATGCTACTGCCAACAGATGTGTCGCAAGCTTTAGAAATTTTTGTTTATAGTTTTTAAAATAAAGAAGAAAGGTTGAGTAGGTAAACTACATAAATATACGCAATTAGAGCATAGGAGCCGTTTATTCGATGCAGCTGGGCTATATCTAGGATCTATCTTGATCCTTTGCAAACATAATCAAGTGTGGGACACCGTTACAATCACGTTGAATGCAAATCATGTTCTTTGTTGTTTTGTGACTGTTTGGCGCCAGGCAAATGTTGAGAATCAGTGCAAACCACATTTCTTCGCGCGTCGTACGCGGTCCATGGTTTAACAAAACTTCTTGGTTTTTGCTAAAATCCCATACACCCTGCCTGAGAATGGTTTAATATTTACTCGCTGCATAAATAACATCAGGAAAATCAAAATAATGTGGATATCGAAAATGCACTTTTTTTGTGGCGTTTCTTTCTTTAAAACCTGGACTCAAGATAAATTCTCTTTACTGTACTGTGGATTTACAATAAGTGTATAGATGGGAAGGAGCACTTTTGCACGTAGGACTAAATAAACAGTGTAGAGGTAACAAAAAAGCGAACATTAAAGAAGACCCTTCTATATACATATTGCAAGTTACGAAGCTGCTATAGCAAGCTATGATATTTATTTATATAATTATGATCTCTTACCGTCTTCGAACCCCCTGATCAAAGCTTACATCTCGCTTTCAGGCGCCGCTGCCGATTCTGGACTTATCGATGCATGCTCCGGTGCAGTTTACAGCATTTCGTCTTTCGACGTTTTCATTGGTTGAAGTCAGTCTTGGTGGTATGACCGAGCAGCCAAAAAAAATTTGAACGACGACTTTCCCAGGCTTTCGCTTGTCTATCTACTGAGCAAAAAGGTTACTCGAAGCAGAAGCTTCTAGAGCAAGCTGCGTACCTTGGCTATAAAAAAGTCCTGCTTTTCCGCGATCCTCGGAATCATGCGCTCGACCAGCTCGTTGTATCGCAGGTGTCCAACGTAATTTTGCTTGAAAGAGTTTGCGATTTGCCGTGATGTGAAAAAGATTGCGTTCTACGTTACGACAGTACCAAAAATTTTTGCAGGCGGATCATGGCGTGCGACGTATCATCCCATTATCCCGAATGACATAGGATAGGGGCCCTTCCGCTAGGGACGATGAAGTACTAAGTACTGTTCTATGCCTCTCGATTCGATAAGCTAGGTCATTTATTAGCGCGTACATTGAAACACGAGCCCTTGCTTAGATTTGGCATTTATCGCGTGCAAAAAAAGATTGTTCCTTTGCGCCTTCTGCACCTTGTCTACTTCTTCTAGCTTCCTACTAGTAGCACTGTCAGGCGCAATAAGCATCCGCACTGACGTTAGCGAAGCGCTTTCTTTGAACGATCTCGAAAACGCGCCTTTGTAGAGTCAAGACCTAGTTTTAAACAAAGGTGTTTTTATGCGATACGGTCGGTGACAACTTTGAAGTGTCGCCCACACAAATAAAGCCGTATTTCTCAACGGACAATTGGTAACGTCATTTTTATATCCTGATGAGACCGGCATAGAACAAGATACTACGTCATCGGCGTTCCACATGACGTGCTTTACGTTGACCGTAACGTGGAACAAACCCATGATTCGAGTAAAATTTTGTGAGAACCGCTGGTAATTTAGGGCTAAACCCAAAAAGCTTTCTAATCCTGTAACCCACGTCGGGGTAAGCACGGTCTCCACTACCCAGCTTTTTTTAGGATTTAGGAAAGTACGGTTTTCTGCATTCCAAACGGACATTGCTTAACGATCAAATGCAAGTATGCGGAGTCGATGGCCCCCGGTATTTTCTGCAAGCGCGTCACATAAGTGTTGAAGTTGGATGAATAGATTATAACTTTGTGGACGCAGACGGGAGCCATCTATCTGCCAACGAGCTCTCTGTCAGAGTTCTTGAAATATCGCGCCGAATGGGGTTACGCTTAAACTGATACAGTCCCTTTGGCACACCTTCTTATCTTTGTCAATCGTGTGAACGCTAATCTTCTAATGTTCGCTCATCAACGTATGCAGCGGGCTCCGACGAAACCATTGATATTACCGCTTATGCTGGGCAGCAGGTACCCATCCCGTTCCGTGGTGTCGTCTAAACTGCGGTCGTTGACGTCCTATGCTGAACAAAAAGCGTATAAATAACTTCGTCTGGCTTTTTGAAAAATGGCCGTATTGGCCTAAGAGGACCTTTATGAGGCGGCCACGTTGTTTTATTATCACGGCTAACTGAGAGACCCGCCATCACCTAGGTAATAAAAGGAGTCCATCTGTTAGTGTCAGTCTGATGAATCTCGTTAGGTTTGATATATTTGGCATAATTGGTACGAGGTTTTCTTCTAACGGAATTATCTCGTTTCAAGCAGCACATAAAACCTACCCCACGCATCCGTGCTTAGAATGCTGTACGGGCATACATAGGCACCTTACCCCCGAAAAACAGATTAGAGCCCGATCCGGTTGTAGTACAATGTTAGAAGTGGTTTGATTAAGCTGCTATGTTTATCACTGTCCTCGGTAATGCAACGTAATCCTCACTGGTTGGAAAGCAATTACAAGACTGGTAATTGTCTTTCTTTATAAAATGACAGGAACAGCTTGCTCGGAATAAACGCTAACCATTTCCAGAACCATTAACGGAGCGCACTGTGTATCGTGTAACGGGCTCCAAAGTCCTCCTATGTCCTGTGAAAACAGTTTATTTTCCCGCCGCGAAGAAATCACGTTCACGTCCTCTCCTGAGTAGGATGTCGCGATTATCTTCTCGCAAAGGAGTTCAACTCAAAGCATGAGCGGGTAACTTCTTTTACACCCTATATGTAGCACCGCATCCTTCAAAAGTTCCTCCCATTAATTATTTTACGAAGTTTAGAAATAGAAACTCGCTGTG